CCCCGCATAGCAGAGGAGCCCCACGCACCCCCAGCCTGGGGGCCCCTAAGCCACCCTCCGAGTACATCCTACTCCCCATCCCCTCCCAGAGCCACCAGCTGCTCCCCGCAGGCAAAGATGCCAATGGCAACTGCGAGGTTGGGCACCTCCTTGAGGCACACATGCCTCACGGAGAGGGCAGCTGGCTAGGGGAGCTTGAGGATCTGCCATCTCCAGCACAGTTACTGTTTGCCAGAAAATATATCAATCCTGTGTTAGCTGTGCAGGAACTTCACACAACATTTGCCAAGGATTTGGTCAGGTGCAACTGGACATTCAAGGTCGCATAGAGCTGGTGGGATGCTCAAACACCTGAGTTGTCCCAGCCATGATGTGAGCAGCACACCCACAAGGCAGGTCTCCAGCCCACTACAAGCAGTGCCACGCTCAGCAGTGAGCGGCAGCACGGAGTGCATGTCACAGCAAGGGGCAGCAGGGGACAGGAGGAAACAAGAGATAGCACAGAGAACTTCTTTAAAAAAAAAAAATTCTATATAGGAGGACAACTTTGTTTCTCTCTGAAGGCACACTTCAGAAAAACAAAACCCAAACAAGATCAAGAGCCTTGAGCCTCCAGAAGTATAACTGACCAACATCCTAGGACCTCCACTCTGTTTTTAAAAGAAGTCTTCATCCAAAACTATAAGATAATTGACTATCCTATGATGGGTCTAAATAAGAGACATTTGGGCCCACAGTCTCCTGGTAGCAGGAGAAACTACTGTCACATTGATCTGGTTCGTCATCTAACACCTAAAACTGGGAACCTGTTAACACCTTGTAGTTGTAGTGAAATACAAAAGGTTTCTGATTTAAACTTCATCTTAAATTATTCCCAGTTGGTTTCAGTTACAAAAGCCTCACTGATAGTTTTTCTTTAGAGTACGCCACCAGGATACACAAAATTCCCCTCTCAGTCAACACTTCCTCCTCTTATGCATGGTATTTTCTTTTATGGACCATTTATTTTTGTATTCTGACATTTTGTAGTTACATGCCTGAATACAGTCTTCCATGTTTTTATGCAGTCTAATATACAGAGCTTTAGAGAGTCTGACTTTTGAGTGACTATGTTTATCAGCTGTTCCAAGCTTGTTTTGGTGAAATGTTGCAAAAGCACAAAGACTAGCAAACACATAAGAATCACTAAACCCAAAGTTTGCTGCAAAATGAGATTTCAAAGCAGCATCCAGGATTCAATCACCGCACAGTAATGTCAGCGGCATCATCAATGCAGGTAAATTCTTTATTAAACTCTTGGTTACTCAGAGAGCCAGAGTCCAGAGTTCATCATTCCCAAGTAACTAAATGCTGACAGCCTTTGGAAAACTGTTCCTCTGAAGAGCAAGATGGGAAGCTAAATTGCCATGGATTCAGACCCAGGACCTTCTCAGGCTTGCTGAAGATGCCTGCATCCAGTGCCACTCAAGGAGCCCAGAGGGGCACATGCAGCCAGTGGGTGCCCACCTGGCACCACCAACTACCCAAACTCTGTGTTCCTTCAGAGATGCCACCTTCACACCTGAGTCAGCAGCTTAATCGCTCTTACACACCAGCAGCCTCCATGCTTGCTCTGACAAAGTCCCTGCTAGCTACTGCTTATTTATATAGTACAAATTTAAGCTTAAGAGAGCTGTGGGTACATTTTATATCCCGAAAAAAATAACAAGAAAAATAACCTCCAGGCATGCTGAATGGAAAGCAGAAATTGCAAACTACTTTTTTTCCAGGCTGAAATTTCACACCAAAATAAAGCTTTCCACCCTGAAGGGGTGAAGAGATTTTAAAAAAAAAAAAATCTCAGCTTTCACTTGTCGAGCCAAGATGTGCAGTAAATTTAAAGTGCATTTGGGGGCTGGTTCATGTGAAGTTATCTTTCATCTCTGCATTTCCTGGTTGAAGTACCAACAGTCACAGGCATCAAAGCCTTGTCTGTGCAGCTTCAAGAGCATTTACTTCAAATTGCTGGAAAAGGGAAGCAAAGACACCAGGGTACCTTCAGCACTGACACAGCATCTTGCTCACAGGTTTCAGGCAGTTATTTCCCTTGTCTATCCATAAAGGGAAAGGTAAAGCCTACACATATACTGTGAATCCTCAGAGGAAAGGCACTGTGGAAGCACAACATGCTCCTTTAAGCTCCCAAAGCACAGCTGGCATTTCCCAGAGCCGTCCAGCTGGACAGAAGAGCACCAGCAGCCAGTTTTGGGGACCCAGGACTACAGAAGACATCCCAGGGCACCAAGCCCACTCCTCTGCTGCTGCTGAAATAAACTGTCTTCATAATTTTTCTTACTGCCCTTTGCCCCTTTAGAGCTATTTCACAACCTTTGGCTTCAACTTAACTTATTTACAACTGCCTTATACATGTTTCTTCTTGTGACTGTACTTTTGTTTTAAGCAGCTCCTTCCTTCCCCTGGTGTTTACAGCCAGCCCTATTTTCTCTGTGACTTCATTTTGTTGGGGCCTTATCTAAGCTTTCAGTCTCTGCTCAGAAAATAGCCTGTTCCCTAATCATCCCTGGCCCCGCTCCAGTTAGAATTTATCTTTCTCAAATGTGGGTGACTGGCTCTGCATAAACGATTACAGATAAGATGGCAGGAAGGCCTTGTAAACAGCATTAATACTGCTTTAATTTTTAAGGAAAGAAACTCCCCTGATTCATCCTGGGACATAGACTCTGTCATTTCCGACTTGCAGCAGAAACTCACAGGTTTAAGGCCCCAATACCACAAAATAAAGTGCCGCACTCGGGACCACTTCTGTTTCTCCGCCGCTCAAGGGTAAGCCCACTTGTCCCGTACGGTGGCCTAACCGCCTTCGTCACGCCCACCCCTGCCAACCATGTTTCACCAGCGCATGTTCCCAGTGTACCCGTGTGCTTGGCACTAGGCTCATGAAAAGGTCATTGCTGGTCCCATGTTTCTTTCCCTGCCCTCTTAAAAGGGAACCACTACTACCATCTCCTTAGGGTTCTCTGACACCAACTCCTGAAGGACAAAAGCCTTCTGCAGACCATGCCTGGGTGCTGCACTTGCTTCTCTGTGCTCTTCAGAGTTTTATACTGGCAGCTGTTGTCAGAGACTATTGGGCTACCTGGACTTTTATCTAACATGGCTGTTCAGACCCACATTGTCATCCATGCAGAAACAGAAGCTTTTCTTTAAAGCTGACTTGCAGATCGCCTCAGATCTGCACTTCTGTGCACCACAGTGTCACCAGGCAGGCGTCCTTCCCATGCTATGGCCAAAAATCTTCCAGTGAGTTAAAAGCACAGCTTTGTCACATTGAACATGTGGCATTTCCCACGCAGCTAAGCCGATTCTGCTGTTGCACACATGACCAAGGCATGCAAGACACCACTTACAGCATCACAAATGCTGATTCCTATTCATAGCCTGCCTCACCAGCAAATAAGCTACCCAGCTGAGCTTGCCATAACATTCACACATAGCCTGCATAGACATTTTTAGCCATTTCACAACTACATATAATTAAAATGTTTTTAAAACTACAGATTGTCACAAGTCTGTGCATTTAAAACAGCTTCTCCTTTTCAGTACAAAATGCGACTCCAGAACTCCCTAAGTTAAAGAATAATATTAATAATCATAATATCACGTTTGAATACCCTAATTAAACCAGCCTAGATCTGGCCAGTACTCAGATGGGCTCCTTGCAAGGTAAAGGCAAAGCAAGTCTGCAGAAAGACATGCAAGAAGCTCTAAAGAGTCATTTTTTGAGCAATATGCAAACCCAGAAGGCAGTGACTACCAATTCTCATCTTCTGTGGCACATTTCCAGAAGCAGTAGGTGTACTCCTGGACAAAACCCAGCTCTAATTATACAGTGTCCACCTACTTCCAAATTTCATCTGCAAGTTATTTTTCATGTTCTCTTTATAAAATGTATTTGACTAGGGTTACTGGCACAGAACAACCAAAGCCTTCGGTCCAAGACTGGGTGCATTTGAAGTACAACCCAATTTTATTATTTCTCATCATATTATTTGGACAAAAGACAGAATATTATTAACCAGAATTGACTAAGTCCAGGAGAAGCTTCACTGTAAAGAAACAAAGCTAGAGATCCCATCCAAGTTTTTACCAAGCTTCAATCACTTAAATCAATGTAGATTGACAGCTAAACCTCTAGGGTCTGCCATCTGCCAGAGATGCTCCCCACCTCCCTTCTTTGTTCCAAAATGGTCTTATTTGGGCAGCAAAGATCTGATTGATATCAAGATGAGAAACAAGCAACAAAACTGCAGCCATTCCCAGACTGAAGTGCCTGGTTATCTACTGGTTCAGTGCCAGAACGGAAATACATTATTCTGGGTACCCCAAACTGCATTTGTGAAGGCTGAAGCAATGCTGAAGCCAGTTAATTTCAGAATGCTCACATAGTAACAAAAATCAATACTTTTAAGTCTTAGCTCTCAAGAGAGAATGTGATTTTTTTCCCCCCTCAAATGACTGCAGCAGCACCCTGTTTATTCCACTGCAGCCTGTGCATCCCCTTCCTATTAGGTTTATACTAATTTCAGTCAAGCTAGAACTACATGAAGAGGTTATACAGAAGAAATTGGGGTAAGAAAAAGATTTCCTGAAGTGAAGAAAAATTATCCTTAAAATACAACGATGCATTGGGAAGGAAGTGTTTCCCTAACTGCTCTGTGGAGACCCTATCAAAAGCAGCTCAACTAGTTATTGGGCTGAAAAAATAAGTCAGTCCAAGATGTAACAGAAGAACAGACACCCTACATCAGCAAATGCCTCTCGCCTCCTCTCTCAGCATCACAATGCCTCTGCTTCCTGAATGTGCGAGTTACACATATAAAGAATGTTGGCTTTTCTTTATTTGAAGGGATTTTATTTGTTTGAAGGACTACTCTCAAACATTCATTCACTACAGTTACAGAATTAACAACTACATGTTTAAATAACTTTGAAATACTTACAGACCAAATAATTATCATCCTTCTAGACACAGAGCGATCTATGTTCCAGTAGGTAAACGGAAGGAAAGTGATATAAAAAATCTCTTCACCCAAAGCAGCTGAAAACTTGAACAAGTAGTAGTAGAAGTAGTTCTTCACAATATACTTCTGTGTACAACCCTGGAAATGAGAGGATTTTAAAGTTTTAGTAAATGAGCAAATCATAGCAAACATTTAAGATATTTTATCTGTTACAATTCCCAGCCCTTAAACCAAATACTTTGTTAGAACAAGTGTCAATAAATGAAGTTAAATTTTTATAATAAAATGAAGATTATAGTGATAGCTCAACTACATTTCCTGCAGATCAGAAATCTATTCAAATTAATTAAGGGTAGCAGTCACATTGACACAGATCTTCAAGAGATTGGATCAATCTTTCCTCCAGGGAAATCAAGAATATTTCATAAAAAGGTACTGATGTGTTAATTTTGAAGCTTCTACATCTGTAGATAAAGACAGCCACCATTGCTTTCACTAGAAATGTGTTGAGGTGAAAAAAAGTAAGCTGCAATTACAGAAACTTCTAATTTAAAATTTGCCTCATTATAGCAGGCAAGGTTTACCCTGCTAGCCCCTGAAATTTGCCAATGGGTGCTGCTGGCAACAGCAAGGTACTGATGTGTTAATTTTGAAGCTTCTACATCTGTAGATAAAGACAGCCACCATTGCTTTCACTAGAAATGTGTTGAGGTGAAAAAAAGTAAGCTGCAATTACAGAAACTTCTAATTTAAAATTTGCCTCATTATAGCAGGCAAGGTTTACCCTGCTAGCCCCTGAAATTTGCCAATGGGTGCTGCTGGCAACAGCTTCCCCTGCACTGCTCTCACCACTGGGCTCTTCCGTGACGCCACGCTCCCCCCCACCGGGACGCTCACCGGATCGCCGCGCACTGAGATGCCGCAGTGGTGAGCTACAGCCCTCACGCGTGAGCGGGCTCAGCAACTGCAGCTGCATGAGCAGATCCGGGGGAAAACAAGGCTGTGAGTGGGCAAAGAGAAGAGCTGCCCCTCTCACCACCAAATTTTTGCTCCATTATCTTTAAGTAAAATTAACCAGGTTGTCTCTTTAAACATTACCAGCAGATATATTGCAAACAGTATCAGGTGACACCATTTGGGACTTTATTAATTTTATTAAGCTAGACATCTCACTTTTATCCGAATTTGGCAGCTAGATTTCATTAGATGTACCCCACCCAAGCCCTCTCTTCTGAAAGGCTGCACCCAGCCTGCCAGAGCTGGGAAGCCACACAACAGCATATATTATTAAGGTCATGACTTCAGCCACTTGTGTAAAGGTTTGCTGTCACTGCCATTTGGGACTAGTAGACCACTAAGAAGCCTCCCACCCTGTTAGCAACATGTAAGTGAATCACATTTTACATAGACACCTGTAAACTTCAGGAAAAAGGAGATATATATGAAGAGGATTTTTGATTTGGGGGCAGGAGCAAGGGAGCCAATCTAGTCTCTCTCCATCTCCCCTCCCCCCAAAAAAAAAATTAAAATATGGAAGTTGGCTATGTAAATAGGAGATGAAAGAAGTTCCTAAAGATGAGAGCTGAGAAGGGGTTATGAATGTTTCAGCACAGACACACTAAGTTAAGACATAGCTTTGAGATGAACTCCTAAAACTCTTCTAAGAGGAAAACTATCATGCTCAGTGTTGACTGTGTAACTAACCTACCAGAGAGAAACTCTCATCCTACATGCTAGTGAGAAAATGTAAAAGCTGACTAAGGAGTCTAGACATGCAATTGTGACTCATTGTGAGAGCTGTTAGAAGTTCCAGTCCCTTAATCTGCTTTCAATACAGAGATGAGGCACACTGCATGAAGACAACAAAAGCAAGATGGAAAGAAGTATCATCCATTCATCCACCATAGAAAAAGCCCGCAACTTATTTAAATTGATTTTTGCATTAATAAACAGAAAAGATGAGTCAACTCTTTTGAAACGCTGGGGTCACAGGAGTGTTCCTCCATGTATTAGTAACGGAGGTCACAGATGAGTCACTGGCATCCCACTAAGATAATGCAGCAGTATGCCTGTCTGGCTGAATGACAGAGCTATCAGTCTAAGTGTCTTGAGTCTCATATGACATTTAGAAAACACCCTCAGTGCAACTAGCAGCTCTGATGCTTCTGTCTGAGACCCTGAAACCGTATTTTGTCCCACTTAACATGGCCCCAGCGAAAGCCCTCTTCTGGCATCACTAATTCCTCAATTAAGCATCAATCTCCAATGTATTAGGAATTATCTCCTTGTGCACTTTAGATCAAAGATGATTAGACATATCCCTAAGGCAACACTTTTATACTTGGAACCTTATCAGATGAGGGACAAAACTTTCTAATTCCAGTAATCTGTCTTGAGGGAAAAAAAAAATGTTCAGGTTCTAAAAGAAATCTGGAGTTAAAAAATATTTCCAGGCAGAAGGCAGGGCCAAATCCTTCCATATTAGTTTTAAAACCTTTCTTTTTCTTTCTTCTTTTCCTTTTCTATCAGAAATCACCTCCCACTTATTTGGGTTTTTTTGGTTGGGTGGGTTTTTTAACACTTTTTTTTTTTTAAACACTACATCAGCAGCTGTGGACAGCCCAACACATGAGACCAGGGACAAACAGACCACGATTGGTAACACACGATGGCAACAGCCACATGTTAGGCAAGCAAGGTATGACAGAGTTTCTCCACTTGATTTTAGGCAGCAAACAGTAATAAAAAAAAAAGCAGTGTTTTCAATCAGTGCGATCCTAAAGTATAAGTACAGAAAGCCCACTCCACACAACTTCATACCCTGGTCCACAAGAGGTCCACGTTTGGTTGCAGCAGCGCTGGTGCCAGAGCCCAGCAGTTAGCTCACATTTACTATTTATATCCATTATTTCCACAGAAAAAAAAGACTACTATGCTTTGTGAAGCCTCTTCCCTTTTTATTCTCGTTCTAACCCCAGTGCAGGCAAAAGCCATTACAATTATTTGTGTGAACACTGAGCATCTTCTAACACTCTCAGAAGTCTATGCAATCTCTACTTTTAAATAATTCCAATCTTTAGACTTGGTTATCCTTGATGTATGAAGTGACCCAATGCCTTCCACAACCCCTGAAGCACTTTCAGCGAGTCAGCCCCTCCATCCATCTCCATTACTATTTGGTCTGGATCAGAGAGGTTTTAATGGGCAGTAATTAAGGCTGTTGAGAAACTCTTAAGTTTTAGAACATTTCAGAAGCAAGGTGTAATAAGCCATGACATTCACAGACACAGAAGACAGGTAATTTCACACAAATGACCCTTCTCAACTATAAAATATCTATTTTTAAAAAACGTAACTGCTTAAATTACAAGAAACTCACATGAATGTGTGAGTTTCCATAAATTAACTACTCACCTGAAGTACTGGCACAGAAAATGGCTATTGTAAGTCATCCTAATTTTGCAGTCTCTGAACACTGGTCATGGGTGGGTCACCCACAGCAGCTGCTGACCCATGCATGCTTAGGGATCTGAGTGCACCCTTGTGCTGCCTGCCACAGCACCCACCCAACCTCCTCTGGAGCATGGGAGCATCCTCAAAGCCTCCCTATGGAGCAGCAATGGTGACTCTTGGGAGACAATAACACACAATGACATAACATGGCAGGAATACATAATTTTAGAAAGTATGTACATAAAGAATATTTAGCCTTTACAGCTGAAGTAAAGGAACAGCAGCTGAACCACTAACGTAATGGATTTAAAAAATATTTTTAAGCAGAGGTATACCTCCCCAAGTCAAAAAAAAAAAAAAAAAGCTGTAGGATCTCTCTTGTCAGAGCTGAACAGACACCGGCTTTCCCTGCCCAGTCTCTAGTGACAGCTTTGCAGCATCAGACTTCTAAGGCTCACAGCCTCACCCAGATACACCATTAACCAACATTTTGTTCTCAGCTCAATTACTTTGGACCTTTCAGAAGATGTGCATGTTTAATTAAAGTTCTTGAATTCCCTTGCTTCCTTTCCAACAGAATTACCTTGTAGAAGATCGAGAATTTCCCCTCCCAAAGCCCCTAGTTAATGCATTGCAATACTTCTCATTTAAGGAATTTTTAATGCCAGAAAAGTCATAAAATTTAGAGAAGCCACCAAAAATCAGGCACCACCAAAAAAGCCAAAAACACTCACCTAGATGCTGCTGTACACAGAGACAATATGAATCAGACAATTCAGTCCCACAGGGCAGTACTATGTGGAATATAACCGGTGGGGAAAAAAACCTTCTGTACTGCAGTATTCTGTATAAGCAGTCAGTTTTACCTCACCTTCTATGTTTATTAACTGCACCCAGTTAATAAAAGAATCTATGAAGTTGCAACAAAAAATTAGGTATCTGTGATCAGATTTTGGAAAATAAGAAAAAGCGAAAACCACAATATCAAAGGCTTCAGCTCTTCCATCCCTCTGCACAGCTAAAGGTCAAACAAGTTCAGAGTTTTCTGAAGATTCAACAAGCAGCCAGTAACATCTCCAGCACCTATACATTCACCTTCCCTGGGAGCATCACCACTGGAAACTCACTGCTCCAAAATGAAATAACAGGGTGGCCAGGAAAAAAGAGGCTGTGCCCCAGTGGGAGATCCTGGTACAGTCATGAGCCCCTTGCAGGGAGGGGTTGGGGGCACAGGGCCAGCGGTAAGGTGATGGAGGAGGCACCAAAGGAGGGATACAGACACATGGAAGAAATTGCAGAGACATCAGAAAGACAGCAAAGGGGACGGTAGTAGTACACAGAGCCCACAGAATGCATACAAGGAGCCCCAAGACATGAAAAACTCACCTAACCAAACTCATATATACATGCAGTTTCCTCCTCTGTTAAAGCACTTTTAGCCAGGTAATTCTTTTTACCCTCTCCAGAATTTGATGCAGCCAGTTAGCAACAATTGTCCAGGTTTATGTAGTGCCCTTGTTGGAAAGACACCTAGAGCTAACTGAAACCTAAGAAACATGGGGATGGAGACAAATAGAAATTACAAGAAAACCCTCCTTAAATGCTATAACGTTCTGTCCAGCTCTGCTACTAGCAGAGAGTGCTTCTTGACTAGTAGACAAATAGGCAACGTCCAACTCACGGCTCTTGTGCAAGCATTTATAGTGGCATGCACTAATGGCATAATGAGTAGGGACATGCCCTTGAATCATCATTTGATGCAGAGGCAAGACAATCACTGCATGAGAAGTAACAACATGTGAGCTTCCAGCTAGACAACCATAGCACTTTCAATGTCTCAGGCAAAGAACAAGTGGAGAGTCTAAAAATCAGGCAGACTTCTGGTAGTGTTTCAGTAGTTTCTTAATTCATTCAAAGCACCAAAAAAGGCGATTATGTAAAGCTCTCAGCAAGGCACTACAGCAGAGCAGTGTCACACAGCCAGCAGCACAAGGGATGGCTGGAAGCTGTTGGGCAGAAAGGAGCCACGCTTTGCAGGACCAAAGGCTGAGACCAGTCAAGTAGGAAACGGGAAAGGTGTGTCTAGGACTCCCACCAACAGTGTCACACTGGGCACAGTGCTCACCCAATCGATGTCTCTCACACCACTCGTCACATCTTACATCACCACATTTTCATCCAAAGTTTCCCCTTCAGTCTGTAAAGGAGGGTCAGCTGATACCAATGCACACACCTGCACAATCAACACACACCCAGCACCCGCAGCTAGGTCAGGTCCAAGGCACAGTTAAGACACCTCAGTTTACTCCTGAAGATTTCATTTTTTTAATCTTCAGATTATTTTCCCTTCTACTCTAATTAGTACTTGGAAGGTAGACTGAATTATGGGTTATACTTCTGTATATTGCTCTCGAAGTAACATAAATAGCCCTCCTTCCTTCTTTGAAAGAACACAGGCAGATGTAACAGAATCTGCCAAGTCATTTAAATATAAAGTGGAATAAAATAAGACTAGAGTTGACAGAGCACTTGTCTAGGCAATTAATAGGAAGAACTAACGAAGGAAAAAATTGATCATGTAATCTTCCTAAAAGAAAGCCTTAATGAAAAAAAAAAAAAAGAGCCCGTAAGTCTCTCTCAAAGACACAGGGGAATGGCTGCTAACGAGACTGAGATTGCTTGCGAAGGACTACACCTGCAGTCAGCTGGAAGGACAGCCTCATGTTTACTGAAAGACAGCCTAACTGAAGCCTAGTTCAGTTTGTCCACCAAGGACAGATGGTTTACACTCCCATCACTGACAGAAGTTTGTCTGAGCTGTCCTTACCAACACCAACAGTGGAGGCTCCACTGCTTGCTCCAGGCAATCTCAGAGTGCTTTGCTCTCCTGTCACCTAGACTGAAACCTTCTTACTGGAATTTAAACGTATGACTATTTCCTTATCTACTGCAGAAAAGGAACAAATTGTTTCCTTCCTCTGAAGGCTAACATGGGAGAAGCTTGTTACAAGCATTCAAAAAGGACATAACTGTCCTCTCTTACACTGCTTAATTGCCTGGTATTTCTTACAGAAGATATTTAGCACTTTCCAGACACAGCACTTAACATGCTTGTCTTGAATTATGGTGCCTAAAGATCAGACATGACACAGTAATGCTGAAGGAATAGTCCCGCACAATTTCATTCATTTTGCAGGCTGTTTTCAGAATAACGTGCCGCCATTGAACCACGTTCAACCTGTGATCTCCTCTAACCATTTTTTTTCCTCCATGAAGCACTACCAAGTCTACTGTTTTCCATTCTGCAGTTCAGTATTTATTATACCTGCCTGTTCAGTAAGTATCTGTAGCTGTTGAATAGAAGTCAATTTTCAACTTTGCCTTCATCTTGACAAGACCGTTTGATTCCTGTTCTCATCCTCGAGCCTACCTGCAGCTCCTCTTAAATTCATCTCACAGGAAGCATGCCTCTCACACCTACATTTCCAGCTAGTTATTTCCACATGGCTATGAAACCTATTCTGAAGAGCCTCTGTACTCATCGCTTTCCATCAAAAGGTGTTCTTTGTGGCACTCAAACTCATAAGCCATTCAATTTCATATATTCCTTTCTCAGCAGACACCTGGAGAGTTGACATCCATGATTCACAGAATCATAGAATAGTTTGGGTTGGAAGGGACCTTTAAAGGTCATCTAGTCCAACCCTCAAACCTACCAGCTCATACGCTTCAGAACTTTCACTAGCTGCTAGTAAAAAGGCAAGATTATCCAATGTCCACACAGCGGTCTCATGGTATCAGAATCGTGTTTCAGCTCTTTTCTTCCAACATAAGTTAGAGGAAGCCAAAGAGGTCTGCCTTCCAGCGTGTTCTTCAGATTTTTGAGCAAACACCTATATAGACATCCCTGACACAGAAGGCAATGCCTTTGTCTCCATTTCCTTGCACACTTTTTATGGAAAGTTGTCCATCTCATAGCCATTCCAGTTGCCCGAGTAACTCCTCAGACATCCAGCTCTTACACTTTCATTTTTAAATCACGGATGGGTGTTAACAGCAGTTTCCTGCCAAGAAAGCTGCACACCACCAGCATAAGTAAGGCTGGGTGCATCTCCTTAATGAGCACTGTGAAGGTGGCTCACCTCCTTCATCCTCTCGGCCCTGCTCTGCCAGCCAGAGGTTAGGCAAGTCGGACACAGCTGTTTCAGGTACCCCAACAAAAGTGGCAGGTGAGCTTCCCATGCGCTTCAGCATCCTCCTATGTTCCAGGAAGGACTGGCTGATTTGTGCAATAAGGAAACAACAGGGCAAGAGAGAGTCAGGAGAGGGAAGGGCAGAAGAAAAAGGCTTCCTTCCTCCCTGTTTTACAGTGGAAGAACAGGTTTGTTTAATCGCATTTTAATTTGCGAGAATTAGATTGCAATTTTGTGAAGCGCATCACAGAGCCTATGCCTGAAACTGTCTGAAGAAGTCATTTTAAGGGTTAGGTAGGTGCAGTGCCTGTGGACAGAGGGAGGAAAAAACATGACTTAAGAACCAGAGAAAGTAAACTACAGACTGTTCAGAAGGCCCAGGACTCCAGCTTCAAAACAGAGGTCAAATTTCTCCAAAGCTCAACTGTATTTCATATCTCCAAAGGTTTAGTGCTACTAAAAGTGGTTTTGGATAGAAAGATGTGTCACACAACAGTTTTCAAACTGCATAGCATTTGACAGCCACTCTGCCCACACACCAGCTCCCTGCGAGCACCACCACCTCTTATTTTTGACTTCTTGCCAAAACACATGAGTCAGAGCATTATTAGGACCTGCATGTCTGCTGGATACCCAGGCTGCTCTCCAGAGATCTGGAGAAGGAACGGGAAGCCCCTCAACTCACTTTTCGCCTAGAACACCAGGTTTAAGGAGCTCCTCAACAAAAGCGTATCCTAACCCAACAGAAGCAGGTGGGAATGGTCAAATGACCATGGAGAACCAGGACTTCACCATTACATTTCTTTTCAGAGAAAAATGCTTGTTGTCATCTCAAGGCATGCGTTTTTAACTATAGCCTGAAATTTGACACAATAGATTATTCATGTATTTCTACCCAGCACCATTAATTCAGTCAGCTTGCTGTTGTGCAAAGATCAGTTCCATGGTAGAGGTCTATTCTAAGAGCAGCAAAGCTTCTGGAAGATAAATGGGCAGAGTAACACCATACCATTTTCAGATTACTAAATTATTATTTTCTATTCTGTTATAATCAGGCACTAGCACAGGGAGAAGTGACTTTCTGCAGCAGATAGTTCCAGGATTCATCAAAGCACAGTTTTCTAACACAGTGCTGAATAAGGCTTTGCGTTAGGTATCATCACAAATAGGCAAGACCGAGGTAGCTGTGCTCCCAGAAGGCAGAGGCCACTGTAAATGGGAAGGGACATGGTGTTCGAACTGCAGCCATGACGACGGAGGCGCGTGTTAGAGGACATCTCAGCAGCCAGATAGCCCCTGGGGACAACAGCCATAGATAAGATGTTCTCAGTTCACTTGCTGTCTCATTATTAGTTGCAACTAGTGCAGGCCATGCCAATGTCAGCTGTTTCCAATGGGGAAACACACAAGGAGACCAACATGTAACCCAACTTTGCCAACAAGTGCTGCTTCAAGGATCTCTTCTGCTGGCTTTCAAGGCCAGGACCTCCTACACCACTGAACAAGTGACTCTGTGGCTAAAGCCCCCTTGGCACGCAGCAGCCTCCATGCACCAGCAGTGCTCAGCACAGTGCTACTGGCATGATTTGGCAGGTGCTTGCAAGCTTTAACACTTCAGTCCTTGCCAGTTCACTGTTCACCCTGGCACCTCACAAGTACAGGTGACATTGTCACCACAGCTGCTCTGCTGTACATACGCCCTTCTCCTCCCTAGATCCCTTTTATAGTCTTTTGCTTATTCTGTGCTCTGCTTCATGCCATACATCCTGGTCCATGGGCCTTATATTTGTCAGGGAACGGGTTCCTTGCTGCTAATGCCTCTGAGCCCTTTCCGATACAAACATTTGGTCTTTGCTCTCTTGTGGCACAACTGAGGTGTCTGACACTGTCTTCTCTGTAAAATAAAGTACCTCGATGCTCTCCCTTTGCACAGGGAAATGGCAATGGGGAACACTGAAGGCAACACACCTAATCAAACTGGTTAGCATAAGTAAGCAGCTATAATCACAGAATGACCACACAGTTTTGTGCGTAGCAGAACTGGAAGGCACAAGGAACTCTATCAGCAGTAGTGTGCCACAGCTAGTCGTGTTCAAAAGGAAAGATTAAACAATTTTTTTTTCAGATCTAGTAATAAATATTCACAAATATAGTAATAAAATAAAATAGTAATAAATTAGCAATGTAACTCCATATTAAAGCATTCGCATACCTCTAAATCTAGACCAATAGCAGTTTACCTTGGAAAAGTTAGTTACAGGTGCTAACTATACCGAACCGACGTGAAGCCCTATAAAGCAGGAACTTGAATAGCCATTTTAAATAAAAATCTCATAGTTTAGGCAACCTGTACATTCTAGACCTTGGATTTACTTGCCATATCAGTCAGTCATCTTCCATTGCCCTGATGACCCATAAATATGCCCTGCAGAGCATATACATGAGGTAAAGTGAAAGAACTGGCTGTCCAAAGGAATTTTACAGGGAGAACAGATTTTCTCTGGCTCCTCACCCATTAAACCTATCCCTGTTCTTCAGAGACCCAAAGAAGAAAAATGACAGCAGCTGAGCTTTTATTCTTCTGCTTGATATCTGAACTAATGGCCTAAGACATTCAGCAGAATTATAAAACAGTAAGTGGCTCACCTCCAAGCACTGGAATTAATCCTAGGATCCTGACAGCTCCTCATTACAAGGTCCAGAGGCTTCCAAAAAGATGACTCAGGCTGTGAGCTGGGAAGCGTCGAGTCACCAAATACCTACTCATTGGCATAACAGACTCGGGCTCCCAGCATAGCCCCTCACATGCCCCCTGCACCACCACCCACCTTGCCAGCAGCAGCTCTCTCAGCACCACAGAGCCATGCAGGGTACCTATTCCAAACATCAAGTGAAGTTTCACAAACTTTTGTTAGCATCAGGTGTTTCTCCAGCAAGATCTAGAAGATGACTAGACGCTGGTAACAAACGGCACATGCTTGGCTTTGCTGCCTGTTCTTCAGAGGAGAGATAAGGAGTGGCAAACCCAGCACTAACAGATCTACATAGGGTTGCCACACATTACTTGAATCTTGGATGCAATTGTACTGTCATCTTCCAAAGGACCATCACTTACAGGGCTGGCCAAAACCATCCAAAGAAACAGTCTTGTTCATACAACAATGTCCCTTACCAGCTGCTTTCCATAGCAACCTTAAAACAAAAATCAGACATGTGCAAGAGAGGCAAGCTCCCTTGGCAGCCACACCAGGTAGGGGAGAGCTGAACATGAAGTACCAGAGCAGCAGGAGTGATGCCGAGGAATGTGAGCCTCGTGCTCAGCCCATCAAAATAAGAAACCGGATCTCATGTTTCTCCAGCTGCAGCTCCAAACTGAGGAGCTTCCAAAAGTTCAGCTATATTCTCTAGGAGGACAAAGCACTAGCGCTTGAGACAGAAATGCTTTGCTGCCAGCTCTCCTAATGGTGCTCATAGGCAAGACTCTGAGGCTGATGCAAAAATCTATTGCAGGAAAACACCACAGAAAAGAGACTTTGACTCAAGCTCTAGAGCAAGTCTTCTTTGAACTACCAGACATCCCATCACAGCAAAAGCAGTGCTGTCATCTATGTCTTGCCAGTAATCGCCTACATTTTTGGGGACTGCAATACACCTGAAACGGATGTGCCGTTTTTATCTACCTTTTCCATTTCTATTACCATCACCTTGCTGTTATCCTGGTTATTAGCCCCCTCACCTAAGGCACAGGCAAGAACTATACAATCACTGAACGTGATCAGGCAGTTTGTAAACACTGCACCAGTTCGGAGCAGTTCTGACAGTTAAGTTATAATTACAGAGTAAATATGAACTGTACTCTTTCAAAGGCAGAAAAATAGATCTCAAGAGGTGATAAAGTATCTGGGAAAAGGAAGAAGGGAGAAAACCAAACAAATTTCTACAGAGAAATTTGAATAAGAGATTTTATTTTTTTTTCTTTGTTCCTTTTAATTCAGGCTATCAATTTCAGGAGCAAAAGTTCATCAGGAGGTTAGAGATAAGCAGAGCTCCACTTTTTAGGTACATGCAACATCTATTTAGACACTCACTAAATCACCGGAGAAGTCTTCAGTAGGTTAGTCAGTATTTTTAAGTGTGCAACTCAAGGACTTCATACAGAGCATCAGGAAAATACATCTTTCAAGCAGTTTCAGAAATAAATTCCCTGCAACCCAAACTAATATTAGAAAGGAGTATACAGAAAATAAAGAAGTATTAGCTAGAGACAGGATAATTACAAGAAGTTACTGTCTTGTCCTCTGTAGTAATAAAATCTGACAGTTCCTTCACTAAAAGTCCATGGGTTCAACATTAAGTCCAAGCCAGGGCATAAATCCAGCCAGCACATTAGCACTATTTTGTGTCATCCTCAGATACCTGAGTTTTCACTTGAGGTATTAAAAATTGTTTCTAACTGATCTGGTAACCAAGGTAATACCAAGAACACAGGCTAGGCAACTGATTCAATATTTAAGAAACATGTGCAGCCCTCGCTGTCATACCTAAGCATTTCATTCCTTGTCTCGTCATCTCAGGGCAGCTCCTGTGGGGCAGACAGGACTGAATTACAAAGATTCAGAAATACAGCCACTTGTTGTGCTGCTGACCACTGTAATGAGGCCTTGATGACTTTTTTTTAAAAAAAAAACACATATAATCTGCAGGTTACACATAAAAGATGACACCAATGCATAACAAGCAGCACTAATTACCTACATGCATTTGTTGTCAGCAAAGGCCTGCTTCTCCCAGATGAAGAGCTGTCCTGTCTCATTACCCTCTTGAGAGATTCCCCCTCTTCTCTCCATGGCATGTATCCCTACAGAGTGTGTCCAGCCCCCTCCCAAACCACGACCAACTGCTAGCCCTGGGCTCCCTTTCCCCAGAGTCCCTCCAGCTAGGCCACCTCGGCACATGATCCAGCCCATGTCAGACACAGGGGCCCGAGAGCTGGCACAGAAAAAAGGGGGAATATCCTGGGATGATGGAGCTGTGACAGCCCCAGCATCTGGCCAACCATTC